GGGTACTGCTTTTTTTATTCTTTTCGACTGGGTCAATCATAGGTCCAAAGGCTTCCTGTGTCATTAGACTCAAGAGAACTATATGAACACGGACTATGAGCAGTGAGAGAGAGGGAAAACATTACTTTCTGCAAGAATGTGAACAAGAATAAAGATCACAACAATACCTATTTAGTAGTCTGCTTAGAGTTTCTAGATGTCTCACTCCTTCTGAGGTGTCCACCACCCAAGGAGAGGTAGCAGGAAATGAATAGTTTCTTAAAAATGCACAGCATGACTCTGACCATTTAGCTCAGTCAAGCAACTATTCATTAGATGCTGCTTTGATATCCTCTCCCTTTAAGTTCTTCTATTTGTTAGTCCTGAGCAGCTCTTTCTACCCTCTTATTCCCTCATGCACACAAACAAGAGAGTGAGTATATGTGGGTTTGTTAAAGGTTCTTTGTATTTTAATAAAGCAAACTTTATTTTGCTGATTATTTTAATTTTCCATAGAAATTTTGATTATAGTTTGATATGAGTTTATACACTCCAAAGTTACATCTATTATTAATTATTACGTATAGTTGTTAGAGTAAGAAGAGTTTCATTAACTTTCTACTTTATTAAAATTTTCTTGATTTTAATTGATTGTTAAAATACTCTTTAAGTATCCCAAACCTGCATTTCAGATTATGTTTGGCTGTCGTATCTCTTTAAGGTTCATCTTGCTTGTGATGATTTTTCAAATACTTCCTTGTTTTTGATGGCCTTGAAATTTTTGAGGTATGTTGATCAGACATATTGCAGGATATTTTTCCTTTGTGATTTATCTGATTTTTGTCCCTTGATTAAACTGAGAGTGTGGACAACTGAGAGGAACATCATAAATATCAAGTGCCCTTCTTATCTTGTAAGGAGGGTGCATATCGTCACTTTGACTTTTCACTATTAATGTTGACTTTGGTTCCTCAGTGGAGATAGCATTTGCCAGGTGTTCCTACAGTGGAGTTCCTCTTGTTTTACATGCTTCTGAAGTTAGTAGCTACATGCAGCTCCTATTTAAGAAGTCAGGAGTATTTTCTTATAAAAATTTTCTTTCCCCATTTGTTTATTCATTTAATTATTTCTTTCTTTCAGTATGAGGTCATGAATATTTATTTAATCTTTGAGTTGAAATGCAGTACTCTTTCAAATATTTTGTTGCTCAAGTTGACACAAGTTTGTTATTTCTCTTGGCTTCTGCTGTCTTGTAATTTATTCCCATCACTTCGTGAGACTTTGGGCTATGCAAAGTACTCCAGCCTCATCTTCAGAATTTCTCGCCCCTTTTCTAAAGTTGACTATTTATCTAATGAGCTTTGGTTCTTTCTAAGAGAATGTTGGGAACCAGTATACCTGGATGTTGGCTGAATTGTTTGTTCCAGCGGGGATCTGTCAATATGCATACTTGTATATGTAAACATATATTTGTGTAACTACTTATGTCTTTATTAATCCAAAGGTAATTACATGTTGATGTCTATTAGGCCAATAGTAAATGAATCATTCTATCCAATAGCCTTGCCTGTGTGTAAATTCAAACTCCAACAATGAGAAGCCTGGATCCTACTACACATATACTTTAAGTGTTCAATTTTAGTACAGGCATGCATGGATAGCCATATTAGTGCTGTTAACTCCTGTATAGGGTACTAGGTGTCCTGTATAGGGTACTATTTTAGGATTCAGTCAGGCAAGCCATTTGCAAGTCAATCTTATCTTTCATATCTTGCTTACTTTGAGACTATAGATGAGCCAGCAGAGAAAATTTAAGGTCTTTTCTGGGTGTGTATCTGATTTTGCAAGCGTATGGGTCATAACTTTCCAAAAAACTCTGCCCTTATGAATGCCCCAATTTCCAACAAAACTCTCCCCTAACTTTGACACATTTTTGCTTGCCTCATCTTTATTTTTCCCCCAAGGTGGCAGCAAGTTATTCAGTTGTCTTACAATGATTTGGAGGAATTACAGATGAATCTGTCTTGAGCAAATCCCAAAGTAGGAAAAACAAGAAAATCACCTTGCATCAGGCTTTCAGGAAGATTCCAGGCAGTCAAAGAAGAAAACAGGGTTTGTTAAGCACGATTTCTGTTTGATTCTCTTTAGAACCAGGGGATAGGTTCCCACATGTGTGCTTTGGGCAGCCATATTCAAGATCATCTCTGAACTGGATGGGAAGTATATAAAGGCAAGTAAAAATGCTGCAGTGTTTTATTTCTTTCTATCTGATTTCAGTATTCAGCTGATTGCTGTAAGTATTTGACTACTTTCTAGAGCTCTGATGATGATAATTCTGACTGTTTGTTTGATTTTTGTTTGCAATGAATGCATTGGTCTGTTGAGTTACTGCAACTACTTTGACTTTTTTGCAATACTAGTGCTTGAACCCAAGAATGCTCTGCATCAGAGTTCTATTCCTTTTGATTTTTTATTTTGATACAGAGTTGAACTAAGTCTCCCAACCTGTTCTCTAATTTGCCACTCAATTGCCTTAGCCGGCCAATAATGAAGAGCTGAAATTAGAAATGTGCTGCTCTGCCTATCTATGTTTTCCCCACTACCTTTCTAATTATCTTTTTCCTGTTAGGTGGTTGTTCAAGTGTTTTGTCTACTTTTTTAGTTCGCTTGCTTGTTATCTTATTGTATTTTCAAAAGTCATTCATTTATTTTGAATGCAAATCTTTTATATCTTTTCACCTACTTACACCTAAATTTGACTTGGCTTTTGGTTCTTAGAACTGTAGCTTTCATAGTTGTTCTTATTTTATGAAAGACTAAATTATCTTTTTTTCTTGTATAAATGATGCTTTTAGTGTTGTATTTAAAAATTCATTGCCAAACTCAGTCTGCCCATAGATCTTCTCTCTTATGGTATCTTCTGAAAGTCTTATACTTTCTTATTTAGGTTCAGGGTACATTTTGAATTAATTTTTGTGAAAAGTGTAAGAGTTGGCTAGGATTTTTTTTCTTCTTGCATATGGAGGTTCAGTTGTCTACGTTGAGGAGACTGACCTTTTGGTATCAACTTACCTTTTTCTCCTAAGACCAGTTGGTTATATTTGTGTTGGTCTTCTCAGATCCCTATTTTGTTCTTTCATTAATACCACATTCTTTTGCATACCATAGATTTATAGCAAGTTATAAAATCAGGAAATATTCTTCAATATAATCTTTACTTTTTTGCTAGATCTTGTAGATATTTGCTTCTTCCATCATTTTTACAATGATTTTCTAAAATTTACAAATCGCTGAGAATTTGAATAGGATTATATTAAAACTATTTTAGAGCTTTTGTAAGTAGAAATGGAACTAAAAGTTGGAAGGAGTTGGGAGGGTGGCTAGAGGTAAGGGATAAAACAAAAAAGAATCAAGATGTATTATTTTATTATGCGTGCATACCAAGTCCCTACAATAAATTTAATTCTCATATACTGTAAACATGTACTCTGTACATTCCTTTGAATTGTACAAAGATGTGTTTTACACTCACTGGACACTCTAAAAGTATAGGTATGAGTTAACAGCACTAATAAAAAATTAGAAAATCACTTGAGAACAAAAAAAAAAACAAAAAAAAAAAAACAAAAAAAACACATAGTCAGGTTTTGTTTTTCATCTCTGAAATCCCAGGATTCAAAATCAAGAGGATTGCAAGTTTGCACACAGCCTGAGCAAATAATTATCATCTTGTTTCAAAATACAAATATAAAAAGGTCTGTGAATTTAATTCAGTATAAAAGTCCCAGGTTCAGTGTCTAGTACTTAAAATTTTTAAAAAGTAAATAGTTGACATAATAACAATATTGAATCTTCCAATACATAGAGATGTTATAATTCTGAATTCATCAAGGTTTTTAGTTTCTTGAATCATAATTTTGAAGTTTCCATACATAGATCTTATACACATTACTGTACCCATAAGTATTTTATTTTTTTAAATGTTATTTTAAATACAGCAGTGTCCTTTCAAAACTCAATTCTAAATGTTTCTTGCTTTTATGTAAGAAAAAATTTGAATTTTTTATATTGAACTTTATACTGTGACCATGTTTTCCATGAACACATACTATTTTCAAGTTTGTTTTTTTAAGGAGGTGGTACTAGGGTGTAAAATCAAGGCCTTCACACTGAGCTAACCACTAGCATTTTTGTAATTTTTATTTTGTGTCTGAGTCTTGCTTAAGTCACCTAGGCTGGTTGTGAATTTGGTATCCTCATGCCTCAGCTTCCTAGGGAGCAGAAATTTTATGAGTGGAGCACCAGGTCTCACAGGATAGTTTTTGAAGATTTTCTTCATATGCAATCATTTTATCCTCTAACAAAAACAAGGTTCATTCCTTCTACCTGATAAAGTTAATTTCCTTGTGTTATCTTATTGCACTAATTCTTAATACAATGAGAAATGAAAGTGGTGATAGGATATATTTACATTGGTTATGATCCTAAGGAAAGGCACTAGATTTTTCCCATTAAATATGACATTCATTGGAATTTTTTATCAAGTTGGAAACATCCTCCTGTACTTACCATTTACTATGCATTCTTATGTGAATGAATGTTTGTTTTGCTTTTCCTATATCTGTTGATATTTTGCTTTCGTTAGCCTGTAGGTATAGTCAATTGCAGTGATTTCTCAATTTGAACCAGTCATATAAAACTAAAATAAACCTCAATTGATTATGGGATATACCTATTTGTATAGATTATTTAATAGATATTGCTAATACTTGTTTGAAGATTTTGAGTCTATTAGTAAGAGATATTAGTATATAATTTTTCTCTGTTAAATCTTTCTCTACTCTTATTAATATGGAGATGCTCACCTCAAAGACTTAGTGTAGAAGTGTTTCTCTGGCTTTTTGGAAAAAATAGTGGTGAAATACGGTTATTTATTTCTTAAAAAAATAATTCACTTGTAGATTTCACCATTTAAACTATTCTGAAACTAGATTTTCTCTTCTTTTTCACCCTCCTTCCAGCATGTCCACACCACACTTAAGAGCCACTAAGAATTCACCTGACTCACGAGTTGGAACCACTAATGGACTCTTTAAAATAGAACTTACAAAACTGTGTGGGTTCCCTGTCCCAAGAGAGTGTCCTCCACTGATTGTCATTCGTGTGCCAGTGTGTAAGTACTTTGTGACACTTAATCAAGATGGCCGGTATGTCTTCCTTCCAGCTGTGATTTTAGCCATTTCTAATGCAGATGAACAGATTTTAGCCATGAATCTCTGAGCTTGTCTGCATCTCAAGATTTTAGAGTGGTAATCTTCCCTGTGACTTCACTTCTTTCATTGGCCTATGGCAAGGCTTGATTTTTTTAGTGTGTTCAACTTTTCACTTGTCAGCATAAAAGGTGTTATTTTCAAAATTTTTATATATTAAAGCTGAAATGGAAAATATGCATGTGTACACATATGTGTATATGTTTTAGGTGGAAGAAGATTTGGCTTGCCTTTTTAATTTTCTGTTCTATCAAGTGATTTCAAATAGTACAAAATAACAAAAGATTGCAAGAGTTGGGAAGAGTGGAACACAGCAAAGCATTTGTGGAGGAAGGCTCCGAGGAGAATGTCAATAGAGTTCCTAGAGACTGGCGTGCTCTCAACAGTTCTTTGTCTACATTGAATTTTTATATGTTCTAAAGACATTACTGAAAGATTTTCCAAAAATATCACCCCAAAATTAAATCAGTATTAGTCAAGAACTGTAGTGTTACTTTTCTTGATTTAAAGTGAACCACCTGAGTCATTTTTAATATGACTTCTGAGTACATATACATAGAATACATTTATTTTTAATTGAACATAGTATACTAGTGAACATAATGGCAATGCCTGAGCTTTCTGGCTCTCAGCATGGCCCAGTTTTTCTTTTGCTCTAAGCAGTCTCCGTTCCAATAATACCAAATACTGTAAAGGGACTCATAATGTAAAAGGTTTGGACTTTCTGCATATCCCATAATGCAATGATAAACCCTTTCTTTTCAAAGATGAAAAACAATTTGGAGATTTTTATAGTAGTGTGTCACAGATGCAAAGGCAGTTTTGGGATTCCATAGCAGTGTTATAAAAATATTAAAAATCTTTGTATGCAGCTAAATGATGTATATAGTTCTACAGGGCAACAGTAAAGTAATATCGTGTCTAAATTCTAATATTTTCTGGCAATTGACAGTGTTATGTGTGGGTGTGTATATGAGGTCAAGTTCTTCAATAACATGTTTATATGTTAAAATAAATTAAAAAGATATGATCAAATTTGTTACGAAAAATTTGTACACTTTATTTCAGGATTTATCTTAGAAGTACAAATTTAGTTGTATCTTGAGCTGTGTAGATCAAATCTTGAAAAAAAACTGTGTTCACATAGATTTCTCATTTAATTTTCAAGAAATTAAGCTTTTGATAAGTAAAGAGAAACTGAAAAATACTGAACACTCAGATATATACTGTGAGAGTAAGTGTGTTGTGTGTTCAACTGTGGATATGTTTACTTAAAGATATTTGAGAACTGAAATTTTCATTCTTATCTCTATGAGTCCTATTATATAAACAAGCCTTAATATGCTCAATGTAAAACATCCCTGATGTTCAAAGAGTGAAAAGAAATATGAGGCATAACTAAGAGGGTTTAAGTTACTTATATGAATGATGTTTCCAGTAAATGTGAAAATGTGTGGTGGGAGAATTATCAAGTAATCACTAATCAAATTACCACTGGAAGTTAGTTCTATTTATCTAGAAGCATCAACCAAAATAAAAACAAAATTAGGTTGAAGGTTGAAATGAGAGTTGAGTGAAATTTTTAGAGAGTAAGTAATTAAAAGTTTAGAGTTCTGAGAATAGTCAATTTTATCTCAGTGTGAGAGCTGAGGTGGCAGTTTTTAAAAACTACTGAGAAGTATTGATAGCTAAAGCAAACGGGGAATAAAAATAGAAAGTAAAGATAACTTCAAAAATTATTTTTAATATCCTAAATATGAAAGCATTCTACAACACAGAAAGGAAGGAATTTTGATGAGTCTCTGTATGTTCTTAAACATTTTAACCAAGATCACATAAATTGCTAGAACTTTCCCTTGCTATCTTGGGTCTTAGCCTTAAATCACCTTAAATATTTTTGTTGGGAAAATATACTTTCAAACACATTTTTCCAAGTTGTAAGCCATATTTTCTATCTTATTTTAACAATAGTGTACTGTATTTAAGGGTACCAACAACTGTTGTCTTCTCACTTCTATTTTTACATCTTTAAGTCTGAGTTATTGTAAGAAGGTAAAATACTGTGTCCTTTAGTGCCACTCATCAAACACATTAAAACCTAAAGTTGCTCAATGAGGGTAGCAACACCTTGTTTAAATTCAACCAAAATGCCAAAGGAATCATTTTCTTCACAAGACTTTTTTTTTATTTAAAGAGAGAGAGAAAAATAAAGGACATACAAAAAATAATGCAGTAAAGGGTACAAATAATACATTATTTCTAGAAAAAAATATATACAGTACGAAATCACCAGGCTACACATTATCTTCTCAGACACAGTTGTCCATATCACTAAATTAAAGCATATAAAGTGAACATTCATACAGTGGAATTGGAGACAGTTCTGTTCAATGTTCCAACAAAAGCTCAGTTATATGGTTTTCCATCCTACACTCTCGAACATACCTGCGGTTATATCCCTTAGTCCACCTTACTTTCATCTGTACACAAGAGTATAGCTTCTGATAGTTTCTGAGAGAGTGAGTTTTTAGAGTTTCAGCACTATTTGCTGGTTAGCATAATGAGTGATATGGGAGAATATTGTTGAGGGAAGATGTAATACTGTAAAGGGAATAAAGAAGATCTCTATGAAAATGGCTCAATGAAATACATAATTTCACACAGATAACTACTACTTGTACCTTTATTTTTCTATAAAATATTGCTTAATTTCATGCTATTTACCTGTGGTAATATTAAAAGGAGAATCACTCAACAGTACCTATTAAAGCATAAAAATATCATCTTAATTCTTTTTCAGAACTTAAAAAGCAGATAAATATCAGGTGATACGTTTTGAAACCAATGATACTGATTGATTCTAACCGTCTCTCAGCATGCTGACACAATACTGGGTTCTTTGAGTAAAATACTAGAAAAGATTCTTTATAAAGCCTGTAAAATGGACTTGTGTAAATTGTCCTTTCAAAGCTACAAAAAACAGAATTACAAATTGACACCTAATCTTTCAAACTCATTATATCCTTGGGAGTTTACTATCAACAGAAAGAGTTCCTTGCATCACATATTTTTAAGGATGCTTATATTCTCATGAAATGAAATAGTTTGTTTTTCTGCAGCTAAGATGAAAAATTTGATTTTTAACGTATTCTAATTTTGATGGTCTGTTTTTGATGATAGTAATTTCTAAGTTGAGGGATCATCCATAACTGATTATGGAACAATGCTCAAGGACAACCTGATAATAACTAGCATAAATTTCTCTCCAATTGTTTATTTCTAATGCAGTGATGATGATTTTGTCTCCAAGTCTTTGCTGTTATACTTGATCTAAGGTAAAAATTTCAAAATTTCAAAAGCTTTTGTAGGTACAACATTTCTATCACAGAATTTTTTTTTGCCAGTTTCAGCACTTCATTTAGCATCCTTAAGTTTCATATCTGTGAATCTTTTTTGAGTTATAGATCTGTGCAGTCATTTTTTTTTAGAGCTTTGAGTTTTGATAAAGAAGGGTATTATTTGTGTTCTCAAGGATTTTGGAATCCATTGAGCAAAACTGACTACAGTATTATCTCACCGTATGTATTGTAAGGATAGATGTGTGAATTATATTTCTAAATATGGAGAGTAAAATAAGAGTAGCTTATTTCATTTAGTATTGTTTAGAAAATTTCCCAAATTCTAAAATTGCAAGAATTGTTTTATAAAAATACACACGTAGTTACCCAAATAACAATTACAAAATTTTGTCTTTTTGCTAGATTCCAACTTTAGCCATTGTTTATTCTAAATCATTTTTTAAAAGTTGCAGAAATACAAAATAATTTACATAATTTTTAGAATGTAGTTTCTGAAATTGAACATTCTCTTTGCATATTAAATATAATTGCATGCTCTATAAATTTAGCATTGATATAATATTGTCATCTAATATACAGAACACATTTAAATGTATGAGTGTTTCCTTTCTAGTTTTACTTTTAAAAATAATCCAGGTATACTTAGTGATTATATATTGCATTTCACTGTCATCTCTTTAATCTCTGTCTATCCAGAGTAGTAGATCATCTTTCTACTTTGTTCTATTCCGTCAGTATGACATTCAAAATGTGTGTAGAGCCCAAATGAGTTGCTATGCTGATAGACTTTCAATTTGGATTTGGCTGATTGTTTCATCATGATTAAGTTCAGGTTAAACATTTTGTAAAGAAATGTTTCTCAGGTGATGTCTTGTCGGTGTGTCACTTAAGGAGTGGGATGCACTATTGAAATGCCCTGTCAAGTGTGCAGTGCACAGTGAAGTATATTTTGAGTCTTGGGAGGCTGGGAGAGTAAGTAGATAGAAGGATCATGTTTAATTGAAGACACACTGTGATCCACATTACTGGGTTTTTCAGGCACAAGAGCCTTTGGGCATATAAAGGATAGATTAATGAAGAATCAACATTTAAACCAGCACTGAGATTGCAAAATAGTTGAAATGGACAAAGTGAAGTGTTAAATGCAACGTAACCTGTATAATCTTTTGCATTGGATTTACTCTAGCTAAATCAATTCAGATGATCTGAGCATTGACCACCACTAGTGTCTTCATTCTTGTGTTTTGATGATTATGGATCCAGGAACAAGTCAAGATTATTAACACAAATACATGCTTCTTATTCATGTCTTAACCTCTGAAAACTATAGGAAGTAGTTACATACTTAAAAGGCTCAAAGTTATATAACTTGAGAAACAAAAGTTTAGGAGTATGTGAAAAAGTGGAAAAATGTTAGAACGTGCATTTACTGAGTATAAGTTACAAATACTGCTAGAAAATAAAAGTTAGTGCCTTAGTATTTTCAGCATTAGAAATTATTATAGTATGAACACAATCATAAAAAACCAAAGCTCTTTGAACCTAGACCCCCACGTGTTTAATCCTGTTATCTTTCATAGCACTTTTCAGAATAATTGTCTGCAGTTGTTTCACCTCGTTGCCTCTCATTGTTTCATCATCTTATTTAGCTTTAATCCACAACATCCCTCCAAAATCACTTTGTTCAGTTTTCAGTGACCATATTCAAGCAGTGAATGGTCACTATCCTGTCTTTATTTTGTTCTATTTCTCAATGAAATTTGAAAGAATTGAATTCTTCCTCCTTTCTGAAGTACATTCTTTTGTTGACTACTGAGCACATATATTTTATAACTTATATTTTCTTCGCTCATAACTTTTATTCTTTATTTTTGGCACTTTGCTTTTCGCTCTAGAAACTATCTCATTTTTTCCACCAATATAGTTACAATTCCACTCCAAATTATTATCATCTCATAATTGCATACAATAATAATTTAGGCCCAAAGTGTTTTATTCTACAAACTGTGTCTCTCTAAAGACAACCCACAAAACTCACAGTAAATCTAAGATCCATCAAAGATTACAAGCTCTAGCATTCTTCCATTTACTCATTTGCTCATCAGGTTTTAAATAAAATAAAATTCCTTTCTTTTCATTTTCAGAGCTACTTCTTTTGTGTCATCTAACTTTTACTCTATCAGTTTATTGAAAATACTTGTAAAGACAATTTAATCCAAAGTATTATCTAAATATCTTATATATAACATTGCATTTGATTATCTCAGTAACCCTTTTAAATAGTCACTGCTGCTGCCACATTGTATAGGGAAGGAAAAAAAAATTAGGACAGTTAAATAAATTCTCCAAAGTGGTTGTTTTTGCCAGAAATTGAAATAGAGTTCTTTGAATCAGATTCCTAATTATTAGTTCCTAACACTGCTATGCTAGCCTAACCTGCTATAACCGAATTAGGTCATCTTGACTTACTTCAATACTTCTAATCTATCTGCTGATATCTCTTTTTTGTTTATATATTTTTCTCAGCTTATTATGTATTCACTATAAAATTTAAGGCAATTTTTTTTTACCTTGTTCAATTTTCTACCCATTCAAATAATGCTTGGAATTTT